TTATGTGTTTGTTTTTTTTTCTATTTCTGTGAGAAATGTCTTTGGAATTTTGATAGAGATTTCATTGAATCTATATCATGTTGAGTAGCATAGATATTTAAACAATATTAACTCTTCCAATCTATGAATGTGAGGTATCATTCCACTTTTTGTGTGTCTTTGCTCATTTCTTTCATCACTGTTTTATAGTTTTCAGTGTACAAATCTTTCATTCCCTTGGTTAAATTTATTTCTACGTATTTTATTAATTTTTATTCTATTAGAAATAATTTTGTTTTCTTAATTTCTTTTTTTGATAGTTTGTTGTTAGTGTATAAAAACAGAATTGGTTTTTTGTTGGTTGATTTTGTATTTTGCAACCTAACTGAATTTTGAGGTTTTCTACATATCGTAGAGGCCTGGTGCATGGATTCATGCACCAGTGGGGTCCCTCGGCCTGGCCTGCAGGGATCAGGCCAAAGCTGGTAGTCCAACATTCCCCGAGGGGTCCCAGATTGCAAGAGGGCACAGGCCAGGCCGAGGGACTCCACTGGTGCACCAATCTGTGTACCGGGCGTCTTGTATGCATATAAGATCGGTGGTTAATATCTTCCCGCCTCCCCCCCACCCCCCTTCCCTCTGAGATTCATCAGTCTGTTCCATGCCTGTGCATTGAGCATCTGCCCCCTGATGGTCAGTGTGTGTTATAGTTATTGTTCAAACAGTCAAACGGTCGGACACTTAGCATATCAGGCTTTTATATATATATATAGATTATCATGTCATCTGCAAACACAATTTAACTTCTTCCATTCTAATTTGAATGTTTTTTCTTTTCTTTCTCTTTCTTGTGTAATTTTCTGGCTACTAGGACATCTACTGTGTTGAATAGAAGTGGCAAGAGTGGGCATCCTTGTTTTGTTCCTGATCTTAGAGGGAAAGCTTTCAGTATGATATTATTAATGTATTATATTAGCTGTGGGCTTGTCATATATGACCTTTACTGTAGAGAAATTAATCATGAAAGGATGATGAATTTCTTACATGTTTTTTCTGTATCTATTGAGATGATCATATGATTTTTATCCTTTATTCTGTTAATGTGGTCAATCACATTGATTGATTTGTAGATGTTGCCTCCTTGCATCCTAAGGATAAATTCCACTTAGTCATGTTGTATAATCCTTTGAATGTGCTGTTAAATTCAGTTTTTACAGATAATTAAAATGACCTGTCTTTAAGTCTACTGATCTTTCTTCTGCTTGACCAAGTCTGTTTTTGAAGCCCC